AGCCCAGAAGTAAGTGCAAGTCCATATGGGCAACTAATATTTGACAAAGGGGGCAGAAGTATAGGAGGGAGTAATAATAGTCTCTTCAACATATGCTACTGGGAGAGCTGGACAGCTACATGCAAAAAATTGAAATATGATCATCAGCTGACACCATACTCAAAAATAAACTCAAGATGGATAAAAGACTTAAATATAAGTCGCAACACCATAAAAGTCCTAGAGGAGAACACTGGCAGGAAACTCTCAGATATCCCATGCAGCAATTTTTTCACCGACATGTCTCCTAAAGCAAGGGACATAAAGGAAAGAATAAACAAGTGGGACCTCATCAAAATAAGAAGCTTCTGAACGGCTAAAGAAAACATCATCAAAATGAAAAGGGAGCCAACCATATGGGAAAATATATTCGCTAATGATACATCAGATAGACGTTCGATCTCCAAAATACATATAAAGAACACCCATGACTCTACTCCAAGAAGATAAATGATCCAATCAAAAAATGGGCAAGGGACCTGAGCAGACGCTTTTCCAAGGAAGAGATACAGAGGACCCAGAGACATTTGAAAGGATGCTCAGCATCACTAGCCATCAGAGAAATGCAGATCAAAACCACCATGAGGTACCACCTCATGCTGGTCAGAATGGCCATCATAAACAGATCAACAAACAACAGGTGCTGGCGAGGCTGTGGAGAAGAGGGAACCCTAGTACACTGTTGGTGCGAATGCAGACTGGTGCAGCCATTGTGGAAAGCACTGAGGAACTTCCTCAAAAAGCTGAAAATGGAACTGCCTTCTGATCCAGTGATTCCCCTGCTGGGACTATACCCTAAGAATTCCAAAATGTCAATTCAAAAGAACCTATGCACCTCAATGTTCATAGCAGCACAATTTACAATAGTCCAGTGTTGGAAGCAACCTAAATACCCATCAGTAGATGATTGGATCAAAAAATTATGGTACATTTACACAATGTACTACTACACAACAGAAAGAAAAAAAGAACTACTACACTTCGCGACAGCATGGATGGAACTAGAGAGCATTATGCTAAGTGAAGTAAGCCAGGTGGCGAAAGACAAATACCATATGATCTCACCTATAAGCGGAACCTAACCAACAAACAAAGATGCAAGGAAAATAAGACCAGCAACACTGAAAGGAAAAAAAACCAACAGAGACAAGAGGGAAGGAGGGAGGGGTGGGTGGAGGAAAAGGAAGGGAAGGGGAAAGTCAAGGAACATATAGCAAGGACTCATGGACAAAGCCAAAGTGGAGAAGGATTGAGGGAGGGAGCGGGGGGAGGGAGCAGGAGGAAGTGGTGGGGGGAAAGGAGAGACAAATGTATTTGGAAAAATAAATTAATTAAATATATAGTTAAATTATAGTTAATAAATATATCTAGTCCAAGGGGACTAGAAAGCAATTTTCTTAGCATTTAAGATGTAGACAAATTTGAAGTGAAATTCTAGGCCTTAACTTATTTAGATCACGAGAAAGGGAGTGTATGTTAGTAGAATAGTTATATTTTGTTTTGAGGTCCTAGGTTTTATGATGTATGTTTTTTCTAGTATTACATAAACATACAAAGCAGAGCAGGAAAACTTCTTAGAAATGATCTAATCCAACCTCCAGCCCAGTGGAGGAATTCTTCCTACAGCATCCCCAACAGAAGGTCATCCAGTCTCTAGTGACAGGAAGCTCACTTTCTCCAGAGGCAGAAGCATTACTGCTGGACAGCTCCCACATGGGCAGTTTCTTTCTTCACTTCAGTGCCCTGATCTCTAACTTCTACCCATTGATGCAACAGAGACTGTGCCTATTCTCTGCTCTTTGGGGCAGCTCCCCTGCCTCTTCCATTTTTCACTCCTTCCAGAAAACATCCTTCAATCCTTCAACTGCAGAGCTCAGTGCTGCAGAGTTGAATGCAGTGGTCCAGACATGGCCTGGTTTTCACAGAGGATAGTGGGACTATTTTCTTCCCATTTATTTTTATATTATCTCTACCATCTGTTTAATAATCTATTCTAGAATGGTGCCCCACAATGGCCATCAAAATAACTGGTTCCTTAGAGTTCAGGATCCTCTTTCATTACTTACTGGTCCTTATTTGCTTGTCTTCTGCTGGCTGGTTCATCTCCTATGCTACCAGAATAGTCATATATTATATTGCCCTTTACAGTTACTCATCCGGCACCAGGTAGGGAAATACCTATGGTTTTCCCTAACTTTCTCAAAAGATCTCTTCCGTCTTACCATGAACCCTCAATCTGACTGGCATATAGAGACTCTAAATTAAAAATGAATAAATACATGAATAAATGAAGGTCAAATGTTGCCTGCTAATCAATACACCAGTCTGTAGAGCACACTCCACCATCAAAGGGGCCTGTTGTTTTTAGCTTCCTGGGCCATGACTCAAAATAGATAATTTCTTCCCATAAGTATCATCCACCTAATCTAGCTATTCATTTTCATAGTTTCCTTTCTTTCCCAAAGCTACGGGTAAAGAGAAAAGTTGCAAACACTATCTGACTCGCTCAGTTCTTCAGTTTCCTTCCCCAGACTTCCCTGTCTCTACAATTCTATTTCAGGTTCTGTTTCCAACAGTCGTCATGGGTGAACTTGAAGCCAGCAGAATTAGGAAGCTACAAGGTGCGCCTGCCAGGTACTCACATTCCTGGTAAACATAAGCCCCTTCAGGAGGGAGGCAGCAAGCATCTCTGAATAGTTCTTCCCACTGAAAGTGACAACAAGACTCTTGCCTCCCACTTGCCAGAACCTGTGAAGACCCTTCTCTGTGCTCAGAAGCACAAGATACAACACTTGTGACTGCCCTCTGAGAAGCAGAGAGCCTGCATCTAGTATATTCCTTCAGTGAGAATGTGCTGTTTCTCCTTTTTCATGACCTTCCTCTCAGTCCCTCTTGGGTTTCATTCCCCTTTACCCAACAGAAGTCTTTTCCTAATCTTTAATTGTTTCCAATCTGCTTTATCCCATCTCTGCTTAACAAGTCAGAATAAAGAAAAATGTTCTTCCAATTCTTTTACCTTCCATTCTAAAGAAAAGATGAGCATGCATTAGCTGCAGAGGGGTGATAAACATACTAGAAAGAAAAAAATGTACCTTTCAGATCCCCAGGGATCCCAATTTCTTCTGGCTCTAAAAGAGCTGAGAATCCATTACGGGTCCCCATGAAAACTTTTCTTGTAAATTGATTTAGAAAATGCCTGTTTTTTATGCCTGTTAGTGTACTAGGGAAAGGTGCTTTTAAAACTGCTTAGTCCCTAGATGGCTAAATTGCTCAATTATCTAGATCAATCATGGGTTATTTAGTCCGTCTCCTTATGTCCAAGACAGACAGGAATATTTCTTCTGAATAAAGACCTATACAAAAAAGTCTTGTATTGTATTTTCATTTCAAAAGTCTTATGTATAAAGTTTAGAAGTTCTTCTTTGACTATTACCCAAATTCCTTTTGTTGGGTCTTAAGACCCTTTGTCTTTTTTCTAGTCCCCAGTGGACATCATAAAAAAAAAAAAAAAAAGACATTCAATGTCTATTTGTTCACAGTCTTCTGCTTGGAACTTCACAGGACTTCTCATTCTATTTAACATCCTTCCAAGCATTTGATGACTGCTCTTAAATCCCTTTTATCACCTGCCCACCACCGTTCTCCAGTCCTTATACATCTCTCTCCCCTGTAGCTCTTTTGAATGCAGTGCTTGCCTCACCTGACACTGGCTTCAAGAACTTAATCAACACATTCAAGGATTATCGAGGTTGTCCAGCAAAGACAGTGCTGAATATATAGCTGCTCTCTGTAATTTACTAGTTCTCCAATAAAATGCACAGACATGAAGATGAAGATTCTGAAAGCCCCAGGCACCACTTTTAACTTGCCACAACAAACACGTGCCAGGCTCCAGCCCCATTCGGAGACAGAGAACAGAGTTCTTGCCTCTACAAGGATGGGGAGAGCCTTGGGGCATGAGTCTTGTGGGCTGAGTTCTGAGCCAAACTCTGCCACTGACACCCCATAAGCAACTCTCTTCCCATACCGACCTGTTTTCTAAGCAGACCACAACACGTATTTGCCTAGATTACTTTTCAGGGCTCCTACATTCTATGATTCTCTGATTAAGCAAATATTTTTTCTTTCCCTCCTCAAAAGATGATATACATATTTCATGTCCTTGGCATGTCTCCCTCCACCAAACTCCATGGCCAGCAATACCTAGAAACATTCAGAAACCAGTGTTTCTCAACCTTTTTATCTTCACTTCTTAACCACAAAAGACTTTTCTATACTTTTTTTCCTTAATCATCTACCCACTGAAATTTTAATACTACAAATATCCTATGTATCTGTTTATATACTGTATGTAGAGCTCTGATTAGTGCATAAAAGAACAAGTTGGGTGGTTTGGGTTTTTTGTTTTGTTTTTGTTTGTTTGTTTGTTTTCCCCAAGAACCAGTTTTCATCCCTTTTGCTGGCACTGTTATCTTCATTGAAAATAACCTAGACTGAGCTGCAGGCTGCCTCATGAATGATAAAAGTAGAGTTATTTGACCCAAACTCCAAAAGCCACAAACATATTCACCAGCCACAGGTTTAAAAAATAATCCATTACACAAGCCAGAGCGTAATCAGTCAGATTACACTCCCCATTTCCCCAAAATAAAGAGCAGCTTCCCAGTCTTCCTCCCCAGGCCACACGCATCAGTTCCAGGCCCTGTCCTGCTCCTCTCAGCCTGGGACCTTCACCTCTGCCCACAGTTCCCACTTCCAGTTCCCACTCCATTCATATGAATACCAGAAATAACAATGGAAATGAGACGGACAATGGTTGATCACATTCCAGGAATAATCAGAATCCACTACAAGGGCAGAAACAATGCTGGCCTCTGACAGGGATGGAGACTCATTCCAACTCCCTTCATCAGCCCAGATCGCCTCCCCCATCTCCTGCAGAGGGGGAGAGAAGATCTTACCTTGGCACGCTGGCCAAATAGGTCACGAGTTTCCGTAGGTCTTCCTGTCTTATTCTGTCATGATTGCTGCGAGCAGGGAAGGTCAGGATGGGTCCACCTCGTTTATCACGGCCCCCTGCAGAGAGGGAGAGATGTGAGTATGAGAACACCAGCCAGAAAGTGTGTTGCAGAGGAGAAAGAGTTTCATCTGCGTGCTGGATGAATCAGGCAGGAATATGGTTCCCAGAGAAATCTGGTCACTGCTTAAGACAGGGACAGGGAATTTGGATGCAGGTAACGTGGGTGACGTTGGGCAAGACTTTTGACTTCTCTGATACCTCATCTGCAAAATGCAGAAGAAAATAAAAATGATCACATTAATGGGTTGCTGCAAAGATGGATAATGACTCATGGGGAAACACTTTGAAAAGTAAAGCCCTTTACAAATGTAAAATGATAATGAAGGTAGTATTTTTCTTTAATCTTCACCCAAGGATATGTTTATTGACTTTAGAGAGAGAAGAAGGGAGAGAGAGAGAGAGAGAGAAAGAGAGAGAGAGACATCAATCAGTTGCCTCCTGTATGTGCCCCAACCAAGGATCGAACCCACAACATTTTGGTGTATGAGACAACACTCCAACCAACTGACCCACCCAGCCAGGGATGATATAAGTATTCTTAATGAGAAAACAAGCCACTGTAAGTGCTATGGTCTTTGGAAATTTAACCCTCTATTCATTTCTCTTTGCAGGGCTCTGTGTCATGTAGTGCTCAGGAGTAACTGACTACCATGGTGAGAAGTCTTAAGAGCATCATTGCTGGGAGGTTTTTAGATTCATAGAAAAGAGGTGTGTTTCCTTTTTTAAATATTATATTTTATTGATTATGCTATTACAGTTGCCCCAATTTCCCCCCTTTGCCTCTCTCCACCCTGCACCCCCACTCCCTCAGGCAATCCCCATACCTTTGTCCATGTCCATGAGTCATGCATGTATGTTCTTTGGCTACTCCACTTCCTATGCTGTACTTTACATACCTATGACTATTCTGTACCTACCAATTTGTACTTCTTAATCCTCTCATCTTTTTTGCCTATCTTCCTGACCCCCCTCCCGTCTGGCAACCATTAAAACATTCTCTCTATCTATGATTCTGTTTTTGTTCTGCTTGTTTATTTTGTTTTTTAGATTCAGTTGTTGATAGATATGTATTTATTGTCATTTTATTGTTCATATTTTTGATTGTCCTCTTCTTCTTAAAGAAGACCTTTTAATATTTCATATAATACTGGTTTCGTGGTGATGAACTCCTTTAGCTTTTTCTTATCTGGGAAGCTCTTTATCTGTCCTTTGATTCTAAATGATAGCTTTGTGGGGTAATCTTGGTTGCAGTTCCTTACTTTTTGTTACTTTGAATATTTCTTGCCAATCCCTTATAGCCTGCAAAGTTTCTTTTGAGAAATCAGCTGACAGCCTTATGGGGGATCCCTTATAGGTAACTAGTTGCTTTTTTCTTACTCCTTTTGAGAGTCTCACTTTGTCTTTAACTTTGGCATTTTAATTGTGATGTGTCTTGGTGTGGGCCTCTTTGGGCTCATCTTGTTTGGCACTCTCTGTGCTTCCTGGGCTTGTATGTCTGTCTCCTTCACCAAGTTAGGGAAGTTTCCTTTCATTATTCTTTCAAATAGGTTTCCAACTTCTCACTCTTTCTCTTCTCCTTCCAGCAACCCCATGATGCAAATGTTGGTATGCTTGAAGTTGTCTCAGAGGCTCTTTACACTATCCTCATTTTTTTGGATTCATTTTTCTTCTTGCTGTTCTGATTGGTTGTTTTTTGCTTTCTTATATTTCAAATTGCTGATTTGATTCCCTGTACCTTGTTATTTGTTTTAATTAGTGTACCCTTCATTTGTGACTAGATCTGTTTTATGCTGCTGAAGTTCTCACTAAGTTCCTTGAGCATCCTTATAACCAGCGTTTTGAACTCAGCATCTAGTAGCTTACTTGTCTCCATTTTGTTTAGTTCTTTTTCTGGAGTTTTGTTCTGTTCTTTCATTTGGGCCATGTTTCTTTGTCTCCTCACTGTATTACATAGAGCTGCTACATCTCCCAGGCTTGATAGAGTGGACTAATGTAGTAGATGTCCTGTAGGGTTCAGTGAAACAGCCTCCCCCATTACCCAAGCTTGGTACTTGAGGTATGCCCACCATGTGGGCTGTGTGCATCCTTCTGTTGTAGTTGAGCCTTGACTGCTGTTGGCATGTCTGAGGTCAGCCACCACCTGTGTTCTGTCTGGGGTCACACAGCATAAGCTACAAAGTGATCTGCAGATGGCTGCTACTTGTTCTGGGATTGGAGGTGCCCAGGCAAGGCCAAGCTGTGAAACAAGGACAACTGGTGCTAGTGTTAGGCCTGGGCAACTTAGAAAGAGGTATGAGCTTGCTGAAAAGCCAGATGCTGCTTGTTTGAGAGAATTTAAGAAAATCTAAAGCATGGGCCAAGATAAGCCATTCATGTGGAAAAGCCACTGGAAACAGGTTGGATGGGCCCAAAAGCCGGGCCTCAGGGGATCATCGGTGTGGGACACAACAGTGTGACTCAGGTTGGTAGAATCTCAGATATGGCACCTACCTGTGGCTCTGTTGGGGGAGGGCTCAGACAAGGAACAGTGGCCTCTGCCAGCATGTCTGTCTGGGAGAAAGCTGACCACCAGCTTTTGTCCTGATGCTATACAATTCAGTTTGCCCCCTCCCCCATATGTCTTTAGTGCCTTTCAATCTGCTGCCCCTACGCTGGAGCTCAGAGAGTGATTCTGAGTAAGTTTATGAGTAGCCCTTTAAGAGGAATTGCTAGGAAGTCCAGCAGTTTTTGTATTCCACAGCCTCAATCCATGCTGGTTTTTATAGCCAGAAGTTATGGCAACTTCTCTTCCTGGCACTGGAACTCTAGGTTATGGGTCTGATATGGGGCTGGGACCCCTCACTCCCAAAATATCCCTCCCAATTTTTATCTGTCACACATGGGTGTGGAACCAGCCCTTGCCACATTTCCACCCTTCCTACCAGTCTTGATGTGGTTTCTTCTTTAATTCTGCAGGTGTAGGACTTTCATTCAGCTCGATTTCTGACAGTTGTGGATAATGGTTGTTCTATAGTTTAGGTGTAATTCTGATTTTGATGAGATTGTGTAAGGAGGCCAGCCATGTTTACCTATGCCACCATCTTGACTGAAAGTCTTAAGTCAGTTGCTTAATGCAGGAGTCCGTAACCCCCAGGCCATGGACCATGACAGGTCCATGGCCTGTTAGGAAGCAGGCTACATAGCAGGAGGTGAGCAAGGGAAGTTTGATCTGTATTTACAGCTGCTCCACATCATGGCATTACCATCTGAGCTCCACCTCCTGTACTACGCCCTACCCTGACCCTCCCTGTCCATGGAAAAATCATCTTCCATGAAACTGGTCCCTGGTGTCAAAAAGATTGGGGACTGCTGGTTTAACCTGTAGATTGCTGGGGTCAGCCTTTGAGGGTTAGATATGGATTAGAGCCTAGGAATCAGCACTCCAGGTGGTCTGTAGATCAAACTTTGAGAAACATCAGCCTCCAAAATAATGGAGGGCAATTCTCCAAAGACTGGATGAAATAAAACAGGGTGTTCATCCTTCCTTGCCCCATAGGCCTTCAGAAACTTGCCTCCAGTTAATGCCACTCCACATTAAGTGTTTTTCACACAGCCAAGGACCTACCTCTGCCTGCCTGCCTGAGGTGCCACCTGTATTGTAACTCCTGCAGGAGGAGCACATGAATCTTTATTAGCAATAAGGATACTCAAGGTCTTAATCACTACGAATGCATTGTACACACTATGATTACAAATGTTTTCTAAATATCACATTTAAAAAAGCTGGAAGGAGTACAGTAAAATAATGAGCACCGCTATTAATAGAAGTCTGGGATTTGATGTGATTGCTTTTTCTTTCCTCTTTTTCCTAAACTTCTTATTCATTAATGGGTGCTATGATTAGAAAGCAGGGCCAAATTTCCCAGGAGAATTAGTTGAGGATGAAGCTGAGGTATAGTAGCCATGACGTTACAGGCACTGACTATGATACAAAGAAAACCCATGTCATAATCACAGACTCTCCATACCCTACATGCTTACTGGGCAGCCATCTCATATCCTCCAGAGTGGGGACTACAAGGAAATCTAAAGCAAGAGGGAGGGAAGGTTGGCATGGCCATCCTCAATGCTGGAAAAGAAGCTTAAAGCTTAGCCCTTAGAAAAAGGATCTCATCCAAAGAAAGGTAGATAGAGCCTCCAAAGGACCCCACCCACGTGTGAGTTTGTCAATAATGTTTCTTGTGATTGTGGGGTCCTGAAGTCACACAGACAGAGCGGAGGCTCAACAAATAAAACCCAAATCATTTCCAGAATACCGCTTGTAGAGGAAATAAGGAGGCTGCAAGGAGAAAAGGATTAAACAAGATCAGCGCCACTGAGAGACTTGCTCTAATGAAAAAAAATGTTTCAGCACTACCACACTCCCCCACCTTCCCCTCCAGCCCCACACCAGGGCAGACTTGTGTAGATACACCACAGAGTTGAGTCCAAGGCCCCCAGCTACAGACTTTCCATACCATGGACGCTTGTTCTTTGTACACATAACCATTCTCAAATCATCTGCTTTGGAAATTGTCCCCATAGTCCAACTGCCTTCCACTTATAGAAAAGGAAGCAGAAGGATTGAATGGAAGGCTTCCTGAGGTCTGGGAGGTTCTCCCACACCCTTGACCTTTCCCTCCAGCCTTACCTCACTGTAAGGATTTTCACTCAGGTGCTTTTAACCACAGCTGCTGTCTTTCTTGCTGACTTTCCATGGACACATTAAGAGCAGAGCCATGGAAACAAGGGGAGCCAGGGCTTATCTGGTTGGCAAAGGCTAACTAAGGAGTTTAGAGAACTGTTGGCAGTGTTCTTCCTGAGCCAGAGCCAGTTCTGTCCCTGGTGATAAAAGTTTCACAAAATCATGGCTGGGGAAGGCAGCAGATGGCAGAGGAGGGGGAGTGAGGGGAGAAAGCCTGAGGCAGTATAGTCCCCTCCCTTCAGGAAGTATGGATAAGGAGGCAAGAGAGAGCAG